TCTTAAACTGAATATGAAGAAACACCAGAGTGACCCGCAAGATCATAAAAGGTCAAAACTTCCGTAACTTGCAGGTTTCGGACGCGAAGAAGCCAAGTAGCACCTGTTCAGACCTACTTGTCGCCTCGGGGTGATCTACATTTTCAGTGCGGAACCACGTAATTAGTGAATTTTCAGATCCAGAATAAAGAAAGGCTCTCAAGTTCCGGTTTCTTTTGCCTCTGGCTGCCAGAATTAAGTCGGCTAATTGGGATTGCAGCTGTTCAAACACGTTCAAAAACCTTAACTTTGCCTCACCGTGTGTTTCCAGTTTTCATTTACTGGAGATAACTATTTAAATCGACAAATAAAATGAAAATGAACCAGGCAAGGTAAATATCTTCCGAACGAAAAATTTTTTTTTGAGGCTCATTTAGTGATCGTTTCTATGCAAGAACAGGTCACGCACGTCAAAGTGAGAACTCCAACAAATATTATTTAACAAAATTGGTTGAAACTCTTAATATTATTTTGAGGAGCTGCCGATTGAGACTGATAAACGTGAGAAACACAGGTTGGCCGTAACCTTTTATTTCTGAGAAATGCACTTAAAATAGACCTACTGAGTATAACTGGCCAACCCCAAAAAGGATATACCCACATACTGTCTAATGTGATTCAACCAGCTAAAAACTTTTAAGGAATATCTTACTGACCTTTCCTATTTTCAAGTGTCCGCCTCGCCGTGGTATTCTCACTTTCCTTTGAGGACCGAGGACCGAGAAACGATATTACAAAAATAGTAATCAGTATTAGTGTGACAATGGCAGCCACTAGCTTAAGCTTGAGCGCATGGTAATGCCAATCGCGATTTTGACCAAGTTTATCTGTCCTTGAACGTTCCATACAAAAATCTTACTTAAATGCGAGACAAAAGTAGATCTTTCAGGGAGGACGAGGTTTGAATTACCTTGAGGAATTTCTTGTTCGAATTGTGAATTACGTATTTCTGCAAAATGATACGATATACGATATGCGTGCATTGCCCGAGGGAGTTATTAGAAGCTATAGTTAATGTTCTTTTTTTTCTCTCTTCTTCCTAAGTGGCAAGTTTCAAACAGGAACCGCCTTAAGGAGGCTCGAAAGGGTTTTTTTGACCGCGGGGAGAATGGATTTCAAGATACACGCAAGCTTAGTACTCGCGAGAGAAATAAGCGATGGCGCGCGCGATCAGATCCGCGGCCGAGTTGTAAACAAACATGGCCGCCATGAGCGTTTCAAAATTGCCGGGTACCTCTAGCTCTATTGTTTCCAGCGGAAGTGGTTATTTGAGAAACAAAAATGGAAAGTTTACTTCTTGAAAGCAGGTAGGAACTGGTTTTTTCCAATATTTCACTCATTTTGGCGGACAAAAAAATTTCAAAATTGAGAGGGTAAAATCGCACCTTGGTACATGGCATGGGGTTATATCAAGTTAATCCAGCGAAAGAACAAGGTTTCTTCTTCAAATAACTCCAATAAAATTTTTGGGCTACCCAAACTACGAAATTTTAGGACCCCAAACAAAAGTGACTCAGAGGTCAAAACGCACCATTCCTTGTCACGCAATTGGAAGTGAAAAATCATCAGTGCGCACGTTGAAAAGACAACAGGCCGCTTTGGGAGCGAAATATCGTTACCAATCTGAATAAAAAGGTAACTCTGATCAACATCTGTCGTTTCTGCTGCTCAGGTTAACTGAGATTTAATATTTTCGCGGTTATTTTCGAAAAAAAAAACAAGCCAAAATGTAACATCGTCCAGTTCGAAGCGGCCAAGGACGGATACAAACCGTAAAATAAATATCTTTGCGATATTTACACTTCGATTTCTATATTGTTTATAAATTTGTACATACCATGCATCAGCGCCAAATATTGTTTGTGTATTCGCTGCGTGAACTGCCCTCCGCTGTCTCGAAATGTTTAGTAAGGATTGCGTGACAGGCAGACCCACAAGTCCTGGGCCACAATATTGCAAGAGCGAGTGTCTTTACCGGAAACACTGGCACTCTTCCTCTATATTCAGTTTTTTTCGTTTGGGACGTTGAATTATGCTTGAATACTTTTTTGCGGGAATTTTTCCAATTATTCACCCTCCTCTTTTTCATTCACTGATCTGTTGACATTTTACAAGCTTCATCAAATAAGCTTTCAAAGCTTATCTAAATAGTGGTCTGTAATTTTTTAACATCTTGATTTGTGCAGGAACATGGAATGTGTATTCGCTTCAAAAGCCACAGCCGTTAAGTTTTCTCCGCTGATCTAAATGTTCTGTAAGGATTGCGTGACAGGCGGCAAGGGCAAGCGTCTTTACCATAGACACGAGCACTCTTCTTCATATTCAGTACTATTTGTTTGGGAACCCAAAAAAAAATTATAAATGAATGCTTGTGGGGGATTTTTTTCCGCTGAATTTACCCCCTCCTCTTTTTCATTCACCAATCTGCTGACTGTTTTTCAGGCTTCATCAGATAAGCTTTCAAAGCTTATCTAATCAATGGTAATTTTTTTACATCTTGATTGGTGTAGGAACACATTGTATACTTGTCATGTTATTGTGTTTTTACTTGTAACGTTGTTCTACTTTTGAAGCTGTAAGCTGAGCTTCCCACATTATTAGATGGGAGAAGATTTACGCCGATAGGTATTGTCCGTGTGTACAAGTGTCTGGGAATCATGACCAAACATCAAGCGCTTAGCACACTATAACTGATACGATCGATCATTTTGACACTTTCGATATACATGGATAAAATGAACTTCTTCACGTGTGACACACGATCAGAGTACTTCTACGTCGATAATCTTTTAATGACGGTGTGCTTTTGCACAGTTGTGTATATGTAATGACAATCTGGGGCTGATCTGAACCTGTTGGAGGGCCTTGTGGATGCATTGGTTCTAACCCGACAAATGCTTTATGTGAGGCGATAGAAACATGCAGAAGAAACATCAAGAGTCACCTGAAGTTTTATGACTGCTTTGATTCAACTTTGAAAACGGAGGCAGATCTTCTTCTCGCCAGGGCAGGTAACATCTCAATATTTCTCATGATATCATATTGACTCTGTAGACGTTATGTAGTCTATAAACAATAAGATAACTCGAGAAGCTACCTAATGATGGTTATTGAAGGCCTTGTACATGTAGTTTTGCTTCATTTTTTTTTTGCCCGAGCTATATTTCCCGCATTAATTAATAAAAGTATGAGAAAATTAGGTTGTTGACCGTGGTGACGACAGCGGATAAAGACTTGCTTTTAGTTATTACAAGCATTTTCATACGTGAGTCCCCAAAAAACGTTCAGGCATAATTCAACGTTCCCAAAGAAATAATACCGAACATAAAGGAAGAGGGCCAGTGTTAGTGGTAAAGACGGGTGCTCTTGCAATTGTGGCCTAGGGGCCCGTTTGTCGAAAGTCCCGGTAACTTGACGGGCCCGAAGCCATGTTTTAAAATCCAAATTTATAGCCATCACGGGGCAGGTGAGAAGTGTTTGTGGCTGCGTGTGGATGATTATGAGAGGTATAGCTGAACAGGACTGAACAGGGGTGAGGCTTTCGTTGGTAAGCTCTCTGTGGTTTTGTTAACAGCCATCACGGGGCAGGTGAGAAGTGTTTGTGGCTGTGTGTGCATGATCATGAGAGGTATATCTACCAAACAGGTAGTGTCCCTAGGATTAGTCTGCACGTGCGTTCAAGTTCAGGCTCCAGCCCAGTAAATCCTGCCAGGTTCATCTTTCACAGCACCTGTAAGTTCTCTTCCAGTCGTCTATTTTAATTCATTTCGTGTCTTTCCCTCTCAATTTTTAAAGATTCCGTAAAGTTTATACCACTGTGCTGTTCAGTTTGTAGGTTTGTGTATCGCTGCTACAGTCATGGAATTCAAGAAGTCAATAATGGTCGCTGCTGTGGTCGCCGGCCTGAGTCGTATGTTGCTGGGCGCATGTATCAGAAAAACATTCCCTAGTGACTATATTGGTTTCAGTACACTGCCTACATAGCTTACTCGTATGATTCGACCCTTAGTATTGAATTCGGCAATTCTCCCACATTTAGGTGAGTCCTTTCTCTTTGTTTTCCGTATTCCTCAATAGCTACCGCAGTAAAAAATTGTCGTTTTAATCTATTAAAAAATTTCTTTTTACCTTGTGTAGTTTCTAAAGGAACAATTGGACCGTTATAAGGGGCCGAGATATGATAGTGATTTTCAAGATTTTGACCTATCTTTCTTCGCACAACCTTCACAAGCCGGATCGATGAGAAAGTGACCTGTCCACACAACTAGCTAACATCTTGTCTCCTTTAACATGCAACTCGAATTTCACGGTGACTAATTCAGCTCACTTCGCGTCAACTATCAGGGGCGAGACTATCTTAGGCGACGAGATCATGGTGTCTTTCGACGTAGAGTCCCTGTTTACCAACGTCCCTATCGACACCGCTGTACAAGCAACACTGAGGAAACTGGAGAACGACCCCAGCCACCCAGACCGCACAAAGCTAACACCTGCTTAAATCGTCGACCCTCCGAATTTCATTTTGAGATCCATATAGTTCCCGACTAATGTATCGACTTACGAACAACAAGAAGGCGCAGCCATTGGGAGCCCAGTTTCCGCAGTTATTGCTAACCTCTACATGGAGATAATTTTGAAAAACAGGCAATAACCTCATCATCCAACGAGGCTAGGATCTGGAAACGCTACGTAGACGACACCTTTACCATCCTGGATCATGAAAACGTCGATACCTTCTTACAGCATCTCAACAACAAAAACCCCTCCATCCCCTTCACCAAGGAGACAGAGAATGACACCAAACTAACCATCCTCTACACTGCAGTTTCAAG